ATATGAGATAACCCTGCTGGTAGAATGACCAGGAGTCCCTCTCCACTCCAAACGAGGCAACCCCGGTAGTGCTAAGGTCACGGTCTTGGCATGACAATCCAATATAGCATGATAAGGGGATAACCAATCCATCCCCAGAATGATATCGAAATCCACCATATCGAGAAGTAGGAGATCTACATAGGTCTCAAGGCCCCCAATAACAACCACATAAGCACGATAAACACGATCTACCAAAATAGAATCACCCACCGGTTTAGACACATATATAGGAGGACTCAAAGAATTACGAGGCACAACCAGATGAGGGGAAAATAAGATGATACATAAGAATACGTGGACCCTGGTTCAAATAGAACTGAGGCATCTCTACTGCACACTAAAACCGTACCTGTGATAACTGCATTGGAGGCCTCAGCCTCAGGTCTGCCTGGCATAGCATAACATCGGGGCTGGGCCCCACCACTCTGAACTGTATCCCTAGGACTGCATCCTGCTAGCTGGCCTCCACCTATAGCTGCCTGGCCTCCACCTCTAGCGGCCCGGCCTCTACCTCTAACACCTCTACCCCTACCTCTAGCTGGCTGAGTGGGCGGTGGAACACCCGGTGCTGGAACCATAGCACGAGAACCCTGGTGCTGAGAACTGCTCGAGGCTCGAGGGCAAAACCTAACAATGTGCCTCGTATCACCACAAGTATAGCAAGACTTGGGCTGCTGAGACTGCTGACCCTGAAACTTACCTTGACGGCCTGGATAACCACCCTGAAAACTCTGGAGCGGAGGTGCACTGATAGGAGCTGGTGGTGCACTGTAGGGAAACAGATCATAATACTGCATATGAGAACCACGTCCACCTGGAGCACCATGAGAAACCTGAAGTGATGACTGAAAGGGCATAGGAGGATGGCCTCTACCAAAAGAATCCTTGCCTCCAGATGAGGCACCATTGAATTTGCCAGAATGACGAGGCCTCCTATCAGACCCCTGATCGCTCCCCTGAGCTAAAACCATCTCAACCCGCCTGGCCACATTGGCCACATCTTGGAAAGAAATCTCGCTACTTGTCTCCTTAGCCATCTGCAGTCTAATAGGCTGAGCGAGTCCCTCAATAAATCTCCTCACCCTCTCCCTCTCGGTTGGAAGTATCAGAAGAGCATGACAAGCCAAATCAATAAACATCGTCTTATACTGGGTGACATTCATAGAACCCTGCTGGAGACGCTCGAACCGCCTGCGGTACTCCTCTCTTTGAGTGACGGGAAGAAACTTCTTGAGAAATCGCTGCCAGAACTGGTCCCAAGTGAGAGCTGGTGATCCAACTGGTCTGGCCAAACAATAATCTCTCCACCATTTCTTGGCGAAACCTAACAAACGGAAAGGAGCAAAGTCGACCCCATTGGTCTCCACTATCCCCATGTTCCGAATAACCTCATGACAACTGTCTAACTAATCCTGGGGATCCTCTGAAGATGTACCACCATAAGTAGTAGTGAACAACTTGGTGAACCTGTCCAACCTCCACACAGCATCGGCGGACATAGCTGCTCCATCACCTGTCTGAGCTACTACACCCGGCTGAACTGCTCCAACTGGCTGAGCTGCTGGAGTCTGAAACTGGGGAGCCATCTGCTCCGGAGTGCGGGTAAAGGGAGTCTGTACTCCTCCCCCAGCCTGAGAGACGGCGGGTGCTACAGGAAGTAAGCCTGCCTGAGTGACACTCTCCATAAGGCCCACTAGATGGACTAAAGCATACTGCAGTACTGAGGTAGCAATGAACCCCTCTGGGACCTGAGCTGGGCCCACCGGAAGTGTCTGGGCCGGAACCTCATCATCAAACTCAACCTGAGGCTCCGCCACTAGTGCTGCTGGTCTGGGCTGAGCTCTGCCCCTGCCTCGACCCTTAGCACGGCCTCGGCCTTGTCCTCTGCCCCTTTGTCTCTGAAATAGAAAAGAGCAGAAAGAAACTAGATAGGAAGGGGACGCCAAGGCTTGCGGACGCCTGCAAGACTACCTCAGGTTTCCGATGGACTGAAGGCAGCAACCCCTAGCTAAGGTCCGTATGCTCCAATCTGCACAAAAGAGTGTAGAGCGTAGTATCAGCACAACTGACCCCATGTGCTGGTAAGTGTCGAGCCTAACCTCGGCGAAGTAGTGAAGAGGCTAGGACACAACAAATAATTAACCTGCAGTTACACAGTATCTAGCAGAATAACAGTAACAGAAGTAATTCAAAACTAACAGGGAGGGGTAACATGCTATGGTGGAAATACTAACATAAAGAATGACAGTAATAGTGGAATAAGGCAATTAAGGCATTTGAACCGAAAACATCAAGAAATCATAACAACAGGAAATAAGTGCACGACATCACCCTTCGTGCTTTTACTCTCAATCCTCACCAATGCAATCAAGTAATGAAAGTGTGCACGGTATCACCCTTCGTGCTTTATCTCTCTTCCTTGCCCATATAAATAAGTATGAATGTGCACGGCATCACCCTTCGTTCTTTATCACTCTTTCCTCATCATATGCATCAATATCAATGTAAATGTGCACGACATCACCTTTCGTACTTTATCACTCTTTCCTCACCATATGCATAAGTATGAATGTAAATGTGCATGGCATCACCCTTCGTGCTTTATCACTGACATCACCCTTCGTGCTTTATCACTCTTTCCTCACCATATGTATAAGTATGAATGTGCACGGCATCACCCTTCGTGCTTTATCACTCTTTCCTCACCCAAACAATAGCAAGAACAATATCCCGGCAAGGGAATCAACAATAAGTATAAATACGTCCCGGCAAGGGAATCAACAATAAGAATTAAATACGTCCCGGCAAGGGAATCAGCTATAACCAAACTTGTACCAATAATCAACTTCACAATTTCACCTCAACTAGAGCCAATGCTCAACAATAACCAAATACCAAGAAGAAAATCATAAATCTTACTCAACATGGATAATCAACAATTTAGGCATACGTAGTACTTATTAAGAAACACAACGATCACAATTTAAGGCCCACGGGCATGCTTGACACCAACGTATAGATACTCGTCACCATACCTATATGGCGTACACTACACTAACACATAGCAAATAAGGCACAACACCTATTCCCTCAAGCTAAGGTTAGACCAAACACTTCCACGGTCAACTCAAGCCTCAAACACCGCTTTTCCTTTAGAATTCGCCTCCAGTTTACTTGTATCCAACCCAAAATAATTTAACAAAATCAATAAATGCTAAATAATTCAATCCCAATGCTAAATTATAGGTTTTCAATCATTTTTCCCAAAAAGTCAAAAATCGACCCCGGGCCCGCTTGGTCAAAACCCGAGGTTCGAACCAAAACCCGATTACCCATTCACCCACGAACTCAAATATATAATTTGTTTTGAAAATCAGACCTCAAATCGAGGTCCAAATCCCCAAAATTTGAAAATCCTAAGTTCTACCCAACATCACCCAATTTCCCATGAAAAACCCTTGATTTTGAATTTAATCCATGTAAAAAGTTGTTATAGATTGAAGAAAACGAGTTAGAAATGACTTACTATTGATTTGGAGAACAACTTGTCTTTGGAAAATCGCCCAAGAGAGTTTAGGTTTTGAGGAAGTTTGAAAAATGAAGAAATTTCGTCTAAATTATAATTTACACAGGTGCAGATGTCACAATTTCGACCAGGGGTTCGCAATTGCGAACCCTTTGAAAATCTGCTGTCTTCGCAAATGCGAAGAAACAGTCGCATTTGCGATCCCTGAGAAATCCTGTCACCTTCGCAATTGCGAAGGGAAACATCGTGCGATGGCCAGGCATCTCAATTCCCACCCAAAGCTCGCATTTGCGAAGATGGCCTGCCCAGGCTTGGTTCGCATTTGCGACGCCTGGGTCGCATTTCCCAAGCCTGAGGACTTCGCATTTGCGAAGCCTGATCTCGCAATTTGCGAGATCAGAGGCCTGGGCAAAATTACCAGATACCAGCTGAGATTTCCTAAGTCCAATTTCACTCCGTGGCCTATCCAAAAGTCACCCGAGACCTCGGGGCTCCAAACCAAACATGCACACTAACCTAAAAACATCATACGGACTTGCTCGCGCGATCAAATCGCCAAAATAACACCTCGAACTACGAGTTTAGCATCAAATTCAAAGAAAAATCTGAAGAACTCTTAAGTTTCAAATTTCACAACCGAGGGTCCGATTCACGTCATATGAAGTCCGTTTCTTACCAAATTTTACAGAAACTTAAATACCATATAAGACCTGTACCAGGCTCCGGAACCAAAATACGGGCCCGATACCATCAAATTCAAACACATTTAAATTTCCAAAAACTCTTAAAATTTCAGTTAAACAATTTTCTTCAAAAATTCATTCTCGGGCTTGGGACCTCAGAATTCAATTTTGCGCATACGCCCAAGTCCCATATTTTTCTACGGACCCTCCGGGACCGTCAGATCATGGTTCCGGGTCGGTTTACCAAAAATGTTGACCAAAGTCAGCTTAAATTCAATTTTACAGGCAAAATTAGCATTTTTATGAAATTTCCACATAAAAGCATACCGGATATACGCCCGGACCGTGCAAGCAAATTGAGGAAAGATAAAAGGAGGTTTTTAAGACCTCGAAACATAGAATTGACTTGTAAATCAAGTGATGACCTTTTGGGTCATCATATATAGAGAAATCATTTTCCCTCTTCTAGAATATTCTTCTTTTCTTCTCTCTCTCAGCTCATCCGCCGATGGCGGATATCATCACTGTGGGAACATAAGAGTTCAACATGGTATCAGAGCCTACGCTCTAGATGTGAGATCCTCTATCTCATCTTTCTCATCTCGTTGTTAATTGGAGTTTCTCTTTCGTTCTCAGTCCCAATTCGCGAAATCGAGATTTTAGGGTTTTCGGATTCACAGGTCAATCGAGTATTTTTCGCTCATTCTCTTCACAATTGATCATCATTACTCACTTATTTGAGCTGAATCATGGTCGGAGACCAGGATACTTCAAATACAATTAACCCTAGTTTGGACACAACTAGTCCACTCTACGTGCACCCGTCTGAGAGTGCTGGAACAGTGCTAGTACCGGTAGCTTTTAATGGAACAAGCTATATATCCTAGAGGAGAGGTGTTCTCAGAGTGCATTCTGTAAAGAATAAAGTCGGATTCATCACCGGAAAATATAAGAAGCCGAGCTCCGATGATGCGAACTTTGACCAGTGGGCTCGATGCGATGACATGGTGACGTCGTGGATTCTTAAATCGCTCTCAAAAGACTTGGAAGATAGTTTGCAATACGTCAATGATGCCAAGGAGTTATTGCAGGAATTGGAGGATCGATACGATCAAACCAACGGGGCAAAACTCTATCAGCTTCAAAAAGAGATAAATGACCTTAGTCAAGGTGCTCTAGATATCACAGGGTACTAGACAAAAATGAAGAGGCTTTGGGAGGAACTAAACACTCTAAATTCCCATGCACAATGCAATTGTCAATGCAGTTGTGGAGCCAAGGCAAAGATGCACATAGCTGAACAGGATCGCAGGCTCATTCAGTTCCTAATGGGACTTAATGAAGTTTATACAGTTGTGAGGGGTAGCATCTTGATGATGAATCCATTACCTAGCATTGCACAAGCCTTTTCCATCTTAATCCAAGAGGAGAAGCAAAGAGAAGTCAGGCCGATTAACCAACTGGCCATGGAATCTGCATCACTCAATGTCAATGGACCTGGTCAGAATACATTCAGAACCAACTATGCTCCACATAGACATGGTACAGGGAACAATTCATTCAGAGGAAATGGAAATCACACAAACAATAAGTCAAGACTTTCTGTGGTTATTGCAAGAAGCCAGGACACACAAGGGAAACCTGTTATAGGATACATGGATTTCCATAAGACTTCAAGTTCACTAAGGGCAGAAATGCAGGGTCTGCTGCAAATGTTCACGGAGGCTGTGAAGAGTCTTTTGGTGGAAGTGTTGAAGGACCAGAAAACAATCCAAACCAATGTGTGCCAGGTCTGACAAAGGAACAATATGGATAGTTGCTGAATATGTTGGAGATCTTCTAAGCTGGAAATACAGGGGAAAATCCAAACAACATTGCTTGTGGAGTTGCCAATTTTGCAGGTATTCTAGCTTGCTCTACTTATAAAGAGATTGCAGAAACAACTATGTGTAAATGTTCTAAATCTATTGCTGACTTATGGATTCTAGATAGTGGAGCCTCAAACCATATGACTTATAGAAAGTCCTTCCTAACCAAAATTGAAACACTACCTATCCATTTTTAGTTACCCTACCTAATGGATACAAGGTCAAGGTGACAGAAATAGGAGAAGCATTCCTTGGTCCTAGCCTCACTTTGCTTAGAGTATTATATGTACCCAATTTCAAGTTTAATCTCATCTCAATTCATTCATTAAATGTGCATCTAAATTGTATGGTTAACTTCAATAAATATCTATGTCTGATGCAGGCCCCTTCAATGAAGAGGCCTCTTGAAATTGGTAAGGCAAGAAGTGGTCTATACTTCCTCTGCTCAGTGTGCCTCAGTCATGAGTCCAAGTCAAATTTCATTTCTGCTTTCAACTTTGATGTTTTCAAGCACTTTAGTTCATGCCTTCCTACATCTCTAAATACTACAAGTAGAACTGAGAGTCATCCCCTTCATTCATCTACATTTGCAGATAAATCATCATGTCCACCTAATGCTGTAAATATGCTCCATTCAATAAATAAGGCAAACTCTTCTACTGTTAATTCCATTTCAATGTCTTCTATTATGTCTCATGGAAATGCTGTTGATCATTTGTGTCACAATAGGCTAGGACATGTACCTTTTATAAAAATGAGGAAAATTTCCACAATACCTGTCAATTTTTCTCCCAAGCAGCCTTTCTTTTGCCCAATTTGCCCAATAGCTAGACAAACCAGACTCTCATTTGCCCATAGCACTACTACTTCCACTAAGATTTTTGAACTAATACACTTAGATCTTTAGGGTCCTTATCATATAAACATACATGACAATCATAAATACTTCCTAACCTTGGTTGATGACTTTAGTAGATCAACCTGGACTCACTTGTTGAGCTGTAAAAGAAATGTTCTCCAGATCCTCAAAGCCTTCATTTCCATGATAGAATATCAGTTCAAAACCACAGTCAAAATCATCAGGTCTGACAGTGGCCCAGAGTTTGTCAATAATGAATCAATGTCATACTTCCAAACCATGGGAATTGTTCACTAGAAAACATGTCCATATACACCACAACAAAATGGTGTGGTGGAGAGAAAACATAAATACCTACTTGAGACAGCCAGGGCTTTACTATACCAGTCCAAATTGCCCATGAGATATTGGGGGGAGTGCATCCTCACTGCCACATATCTGATAAACAGATTGCCCTCCATAGCTCTTAAAAACAAAAGCCCTTTTGAAATTCGATATGACAGTAAACCAAATTATTCACATCTTAGGAGTTTTGGCTGCCTCGGTTATCCCACTACCTTGAAAAGTCATAAGGATAAGTTTGAACCAAGATCCACACCTCATGTGTTCATAGGATATCCCTTTGGGACAAAGGGGTACAAGGTCCTAGACTTGGCCACTAAGAGGATACATGTTTCCAGGGATGTCCAGTTTTATGAAAACATATTTCCCTTTGCCACTAATTCTGAGCCAAGTCCTTCTAGCTTCCCTAGCTCATTTTCAAATTCCACTCCTACATTTGTTGACTCTGATCCTTGTAGTTTGAGAAATAGTCATTTATCTGATAGGAATGCACACCCTTTTGATTCTGTCACCACTGACTCACCTAACAGTTCACCTATCCTTACCACTTCACCTTTTGAAAACCAAATCACTACAAATCAGGATACTACTTCACTTGAAAGGCATGCACAACAACAGAATGATGTTTCCACCCTCACTAACCAATCAAATCTTCCACATTTGAGAAGATCCTCTAGAACTCATACAACTCCCTGACATCTTAAGGAATATATTTACTCCATACCAAATTTGCAGCCTATCTCTTCCCAACTCAACCAATCTTCACTTTCCAGATCACTTGATACTCAACACGGAGCTCGGGGCTTTGAGATTCCCTGTGATGGTGGGCCATTATGTTCCCTTGTCAAGCCTTCGCCAACTTTGATAGGCATACTGCAGCTCTTACCGTTGAAGGAATAAGTATTGCTTTGGCTTAGCTGTGGAAATCCGAACGCCTATCCCAACACAACCTAGCTATAACGACCCAGCCGATCGTTTTACAAATTAACACCTCGTTTCCCTATTAACTGCATATCCCGTGTTTGTTTCTGCAATTGTAAGTTCTTGGGAGCATTCATTTTGAGTTTCGGAGTGTTTTAGGATACTTAGTCCCTAAATGAGAGCTAAAGCTTTAGAATTTGGACTGTAGTCGGAGCAGTGTGAAGACGGCCTCAAAATGGAATTCCGTCAATTCCGTTAGCTCCCTTGGGTGATTTCCGACTTAGGGGCATGTTCAGATTGTGTTTTGGAGGTACGTAGCTTAATTAGGCTTGAAATGTCGAAAGTCGAATTTTTGAAGTTTCCGGTTCGATAGTGAGATTTTGATATTGGGGTCGGAATGGAATTCTGGAAGTTGGAGTAGGTCCGTTGTGTCATTTGGGACGTGTGTGCAAAACTTCAGGTAATTCGGATGAGGGTTTGATAGACTTTTTGATCAAAAGCGTAAATTTGAAGTATTGGAATCCTTAGGCTTGAATCCGAGGGTGTTTTGATGATTCGATGTTGTTTTTAGTGTTCCGAAGGTTGGTACAAGTTTGAATAGTGGTATAGGACTTGTTCGTATTTTTGGTTAAGGTCCCGAGGGCCTCAGAATGATTTCAGAAGGTTGTCAGAAGAATTGGAAGTTGTTTCGAGCAGCTTCAGCTGCTGATCTTCTGTCATAACCGCACCTGCGTTTGGGGACTGTAGGTGCGGAGCCGCAGAAGCGGTGTTGGCATTGCAGAAGCGGAAAAGGGGAAAACCAGCAGGGACCGTAGAAGCGGACGCTTCGTCGCAGAAGCGGCACCGCATCTGCGTAAAAGTGATCGCAGGTGCGGAAGCTGGGGTTTAATGAAAAGTCGCAGGTGCGACTTGGTCTACACAGAAACGGGACCGCAGGTGCGGCCCTAGAGCCCCAGATGCGATTTCACTGATCAGAAAAAGAGCAGAAACGAGGGTTTAGTCTCAAACCTTAGAAATTTGATTTGGGAGCTCGGGATTGGCGATTTTGGGAGAGATTTTCACCTGGGTGTTTTGGGTAAGTAATTCTTACTCGGTTTTGATTAATTTCCAGGAACCTATGCTTAAATTCATCCTTTAAATTCGAATTTGGGGTGAAAATTTGGAGAAAAATTGGAAAAGTTCTTAGGCCTATTTTTGGAGTTTTGATCAAGATTTTGATGTCGGTTTGGAGTAATTTCTGTAGATATGAACCCGTGAGAGTGTGAGGATTCCGAATTTGTAAATTTTACCCGATTCCGAGGCGTGGGCCCGGGGGCTTTTTGGGCGATTTTCCTAATTTCGCGTATTAGCTTCGAATTAATTAGTTGAGTTAGTTACTTAAAGTTATGTTTGCATTATGCAATTACTTTGGGTAGATTTGTGCCATTTAGAGTCGGATACTCGTGGCAAGAACGTGGTATTGAGTTGATTGAGCTGGTTCGAGGTAAGTGGCTTGCCTAACCTTGTGTGGGGGAACTCCCCTTAGGAATTGGTACTGTGATATGTGAAATGCCTTGTACGTGTGGTGACGAGTGCGTACATGTGCTAATTGTTGGAGATCCTGTTTTCATAAAGTAACTATAATTTCGTTTTCTTCCCTGTTTGTACTGTTAGCTTAGGAAAGCATGTCTAAGTGACTTAACTTCTTTATTTGCCCCAAACTGCCTTATTTGAATTCTGTGCAGCATGCTAGGCTAGAGATACACGTTTTACCTTGGTATAAATTTGATTGAATTGAATATTCTTCGTGTTGCTGCTGTGTGTTTATTTTGGGACTACGGGCGATATCCCGGGAGATCCCCCTTGTCTGTTTCATTTGGGACTATGGATGTGGTATTCCGGGAGATCCCCCTGCACTTTTACATTGGAACTATGGGACTGCACCCAGTAGATTTTCCCAGTACTGAGTATTTACTTTTGGGACTACGGATGTGGTATTCCGGGAGATCCCCTGCGCATTATGAAATGGACTATGGGACGCCACCCGGAAGATCCACTGGGTATTTATATTTGGGACTACATGACCGTATCCTGGGAGATCCCCGATTGTTATCTCTGTGTTGAACTGTATTCCTTCTATGATTATTTTGTCTCTCTTGTAGCTGTTGCCACTCTTATTACCCTGTGTTACTTTAGTACTGCTTCTTTTCCTTATATATTATTGTATATGACCGGTAGGGCCCTGACCTTCCTCGTCACTACTCGACCGAGGTTAGGCTTGGCACTTACTGGGTACCACTGTTGTGTACTCATGCCCTTTCCTGCACATGTTTTTCGTGTGCAGATCCAGGTACTTCGACTCAGCCCTAATACCCTTGAGGCGAGGTGATTCTCCAAAGACTTCGAGGTATATCTGTCGCGTCCGCAGACCGAGGAGTCCCTTTCCATTCTCCCTTGTAGTTATAGCCATTCTATCTTTTCTTTTGATTTAGATATGCCGGAGTTAGAGCATTTGTCGTATTCATAGCTTGTGATTCATGGGATTCCGGGTTTTGGGAATTGTTCGGTTTTGAGATCTTGTATTGTATATGGCAAGCGGCATCTTAAACACTTTTATATTTGTTATCTTCGGTTTTATATTAGTTTTTTTGCATATATTTCTTTCTTCCAAAATTATTAGGCTTACCTAGTCGTAGGGACTAGGTGTCATCACGACATGTTCACGGAGGGCGAACTGGGGTCGTGACACTAGCACTTCTCAAACCAACCAAACTTCACTCACCACATTATTTGGCAACAAACACCATGTTGCATTCAATACTTTTGATCATGAATGTCAGCAACTCTTAAGGAACATTTCACATGACTGTGAGCCAAACTCTTATGATGAGGCAACTGTGAATCCTGCATGGCAGGAAGCTATGACACAGGAACTTCAAGCATTACACACTAACAATACTTGGGATTTAGTGCATTTACCTTCATGAAAAAGGGCTATAGGTTGCAAGTTGGTGTAAAAAATCAAGCACAAGGCTGATGAGAGCATAGAGAGATTCAAAGCCAGGCTTGTGGTGAAAGGCTACACCCAAGAAGCAGGGATTGACTATACTGAGACATTCTCCCCAGTGGTGAAGATGACCACAATTAGGACATTGATCACTATTGCAGTAAAAAGAGGGTGGAGCCTTTACCAACTGGATGTAAATAGTGCTTTCCTCCATGGAGACTTGCATGAAGAAGTGTACATGGAGATTCCATAGGGGTTGATGGTAGATGATAATAAACTGGTATGCAGGCTCAAAAAATCTTTATATGGGCTCAAACAAGCTAGCGGACAATGGTATGACAAATTGACAGAATCCTTATGCTCAAAAGGTTTTCAGCACTCAGCTAGTGACTATTCACTCTTATATAAGAAGGCAGGATCTTCACTGGTGTTTGTAACAGTCTATGTAGATGATGTGATCCTAACTGGCAATGACTCAGAAGAGATAAAAAGACTGAATACATTCCTGCACAATCAAATTCAGGATCAAAGGCTTAGGGACATTACATTACTTTTTGGGTCTAGAAATACTGTATCAAGATAATGGAGTCCTGATGACTCAAAGGAAGTTCACCAATGATTTGTTGAAGGAATATGACTGCTTAGGCTACACTACTGTGTCATCTCCTCTTGATTCCACATTCAAGTTGAAGGCTGGAGAAGGAGCGTTACTCTCAGATCCAATGTACTACAGAAAGGTTGTTGGAAAGCTCAATTTCCTCTCCAACACAAGATTGGACGTAGCATACAGTGTCCAACACCTGAGCCAGTTTAGGCAAGCCCCTGGGGAGCCATATCTGAAGGCTGCTCTGCATGTCCTAAGGTACCTGAAACAAGACCCTACTTTGGGAATTTTTCTGTCCAAGGATCCCAATTATGGGTTAAGGGCTTATTGTGATTCAGACTAGGCATCTTGCCCTGATTCAAGGAAGTCGGTTAGTGGCTACATTGTCTTACTTGGTGATAGCCCCATTAGCTGGAAGTCCAAGAAGCAGAGTACAATATCACTTTCCTCTGCTGAAGCAGAGTACAGGTCAATAAGGAAAGTGGTAGGAGAATTAGTGTGGGTAAAAATGTTAGATGGAAGAACTGGCAGTGATTTGTCATGACCCTATTCCTGTGTTTTGTGATAGTATGGCAGCTGTTCACATTGTAAGAAATCCAGTCATCCATAAAAGGAATAAACACATAGAGGTAGACTGTCACTTTGTGAGGGACAAGATTCAAGATGGTTTTATTATGCTACACCATATCCACCAATACACAGTTAGCTGATATCCTAATCAAGGCTCTCACAGGGATTAAACATTCTGCCATTCTTGGCAAGTTGGCTGTGAACTCCTCACCTCCAACTTGGGGGAGGGGGGGGGGGGTATTGAGACTTACATTGTATTTGTATTTTAATTTTGTAGTCAAAGTTAGTTAGATTAGTTAGGGGCAATTTTGTACTTTAACCTAATAGTTAGATATTTTGTATATAGTCTGTAAGTTTATACATTTGAGATACACATAAATCATTTTCCCTCTTCTAGAATATTCATCATCACTGTGGGAACATACGAGTTTAACATAATCTACATCGAGAAGGAAAGTTTCAGAAAGAATGCTTTTTGTTCAACTGGAGTACTTTTTTGTACTTAATTAAATCAGGAATAATTTACATATTCTAGGAAAGTTTGAATATAAATATATACCCAGATACTTCTACAAAAATAGCTATGATTCCACTTAGAGCATGTTTGGAAAGCCACCTAAGAATTGGATTTGGGTGTAATTAGGTGTAATTATACAGTTTGACATATTTGTTTGGCCAAGTAATTACTTGGTCAGCATGGAATTGGCTGTAATTAGAGGGGTGTAATTACACACTCCAATTCTCAGGGGGGAGGTGAGAATTGGTGCTAATTGCACTGTGTAATTACAATGTTGCTTTTTAGTTTCTTTACTTTTTTTTATTTTAAATTATTTTCTTTATAACTTTTTATTTCTATTTTTCTAATTATTTAATTTTATTTTTACCTTTTAATTGTTTTGAAATTTTAAAATATATTTTTCTTTGTATATTATTTATCTTTTATTTCTATGTTTTTACTTCTTGTGATTCCATGTAATTGCTTGTATTTTATTTTTTTATTTATTTTATTATTTTATTTTTTGAAACTACACCTCCTAATATTAAAAATAATGAGTCATTAACAAACTTGGCATATAATGAGTGATGCAATTAAAGTGGTATTTTGTTGTTGAATGTGGTTATAAACTTAATATGTTTTCTAATGTTAAGTTGTAGTGGAACTTACTATTATTATGTTGGAATTTGACATATGTTAAACTCTTTTTATTTTATTTTTTAGATTTTTAAATTATGTTATATTCACGGTTCCAATTTATTTGTTTTAGTAGTATCGGCTCACATTGCATGTTGTTCATTTTTTTAGTTAGAACTGATAGATTAATTTTGTCAAACATTTGAATAATGTTATGACGTTATATTATAAATATTAATTTAATTTATCAAACATGAATTCCATGATGTTCTTACAAAGCGTATGTTTTTAGTTTTTGTAAGTATCTAAACTAAATATTATTAATTTGGAAAATATATATAAATTATTTTTACAATATTAGTTATAAATATATGATTACTAATTAATATATATGCACGAAAAAAATATACATCTTAAATACCAAATATAATATCATTTATACTTATAAAATTTATAGACGTGTATTTATTATATTAACTTTTATATTTTGATAATTACTTCATTTAAAATTTAATCTAACTCTGTAATTGCACAACTGTGTAATTGCTAGGCTGTGTAATTACTACCCTAGTAATTACACCAATTCCAGTTACCTGGTGGCTTTCCAAACAGACCCTTAATCATCATTAAAAGTTTGCCCTGTTCGCAGAGGCAGATTTAGGATTTCTTGAAAATGGGCGCACCACTAAAAAAAAGTTGAAAAAAGTATTAAGTGGGAATTGATCTGTGTTTCTATAGATAATTAACTCCATGTTCAACCAAGTGCACCATTTAATCTTTTCGGAGCATGGTACCAATAGATCATATTAGACAAATTCTAAAACATACGTACATAAAATATTTAGTTTGACGGAAAGGTTATGGGTTCACGTGCCCTATGTTTTAGGCTATAAATCCGCCCCTGCTTGCTTGAGCAACATCAACAAAAGTAAGTGTTCTAGGTTTTTTGTTATCTTGTAGCAAAAAAATTTATATTAGTAGTTGAATTTTGCATGCATATATTTATATTAGTAGTTGAATTTTATATTTATGTATTTATAAACTTTTTTAGTAGTTAAATTTTGCATTCACTTATTTTATCTTCAATAAAAGCAGCTACAATTTACTTTTTCATTGTTAAAACTTTGCCTTGTTCGAGCAACGTTGTCACGGCCCAAAATTCCAAAGACGGAGCCATGAAGGCGCCTAACATTCACTTGCTAGGCAAGCCAACATTAGCTAAAGAATTAGCTAATTTTAACAATTTTAAAATAGAATATTAATAATCAATGACTGAAATGGTTCGAAATACCTATAACAACTTCATAAATAACGCAGTCTACACTATTCCCATAAATACGGAATCACAAGTACATATGCGACGAATACTACAAAATAGTCTGGAACGAAATACAATTGCTCGAAATAAGGTAAACAGACAAGGAAGGGGACTTCAGGGACTGCGAACGCCGTGCAGCTCTACCTCTATTCTCCTAGATAGATCTGATTCGAGCAGTCTCCTTTATGCGCCGCTAGGACCAACACCGGGATCTATATAATAAGTGCAAAAGTGTAGTATGAGTACAACCGACCCAATATACTCTGTAAGTGTCGAGCCTAACCACGACGAGGTAGTGACGAGGCCAAGACAAGACACCTACAATAAACCTGTACAATTATATATATGTATAAAAGAATAACAAGTAAAGAGCCAAATGAAATAGCGGGGTATGGCAGATAAAGGGAACAATAAATAAAAACTGTAAATAAAGAATCATGAAGTAACCTCTTTAAAAAACGGGCAATGAAATCACCAAGTCAAGTTTCACATTACCAAATATCAAGGAAAAACAATGAAATCAATAAGCTCGCACAGCATCACCTTTCGTGCTTTTACTCTCATCTTTACCATATCAAATAAATGCAGGTGCACGGCATTACCTTTCGTACTTTTACTCTCATCCTCACGTGATCATACTAAAAAATGCATATGCACGACATCATCCTTCGTGCTTTGACCTCTCATGATAAATAAGCATGTGCACGACATCACCCTTCGTGCTTTTATCCTCATATTCACTCAATCAATAATATCAATATGCAAATTAGGCACAACAATATCCTTCGTGCTTTTTACTCTTCCTCACCAAAAGCAACAACAACAACATAAAGTATCAAGCAAGGTGGGAAGTAAATTTCAACCTTAACAATAATGTTAGAATAATCAAACTCAACTTACAATACCACAACAATTTCCAACATAAGTAATAAACATGAAAGCAAATATTACAAAGAATAAACGATCTAACTACGGTATGAAAAGCATAGTTAATAGAACAACATATTATAAATAGGCAAATTTCACTAGCATGCTTTAATCCATGACAGCGCATATATGATCCACTCTCAATCCACACTCAACAATGAGTGCAATAGGTTGTTAGAAGAATATTACCCAATTATGAGTCGGGATCGATTTCCTTAGGGAGCTAAATATGGGTGTTAGAGTGTACACTTGATGAGTGTAGAAGAAATATCTTAAATACGCTTCCAAACAAGATGGTTTTTCAAATTACTTTTACAAACTACACTAATAATGATTAACTAGAGAAATGAAACTAGAGATTGATTAATTGTCTTTGGTTGTTTTCAAATAGGTAAAAGGACTAGGGATGTAACTTTTACCTAGGTGTTAGCCAAATGGGTTAGTCACGTTAACACTTATTTTAGTGATTGGGGTGTATTATAGCTCTCAACTCTAAATTACCCACTGAATACCTCTCGGTCATAAAGTAATTTTGTCCAATTTGGCTTTCTCAAGCCCAAATGGGTATCAACCCAAATAGTTGATATGAGCTCAAGTCGGGTTTTCCCTATCTCTAGTTCAAACCCTTTAATTAGGCTAGTCAAAACTTTAACTAGCATAATTTCTTACTAGCCATGTTTTCCTAGACTGTCCCTCTTTCTCAAGTAAAGACCAAGTCAAAATGGCATGAATCAATGTTTGCAATCATTAGTTCTAAAATTAAAGCATGAACAAGGCAAAATAACAAACACCGAATCATAAACAAGCATTAGCTGAATCACCCATAAGGTTTACACACTAGGGTTGGGTCACAACCCTAGTAAATATCTAGTTACTCATAGTAGAAATGGAAGAAAATAAAGAAGAAACACTAATTAAATCTATAATATAAAATTAAAATGATAAACTATTGTGTTTTTAATCCAAATTAGTCACAAAATACCAAAAGTGGTAAACTACAACAACTACAGCTCAAAAAATACCAAACTTGACCTAAAAAGTGATTCCCGTCTATTTATAGTGGCTCAAAATTCACTGACAAAAATACCCTTAGGGAGGTTCTGCGGCCGCACAATTCCATGTGCGGTCCGCACTTTGCTCGAGTCTGCAGGTTGAGGGATTCTGCAGCCGCACAATTTGATCTGCGACTGCATTTTAGCTTTTGCAGCCGCACAATTCTGTGTGCGGTCCATACTTCTGGCAAGGCTTCAATCTTGGTCGTTTTGCACACTCTTTAAACTTTTTGAATTCTTGTCAGTGCGACCATGTTTTGCGGCCGCACAAATTTCATGCGGTCCGCACTTTTCTTCAATCAACTTCTGAGCTTCAACACTAGATCCACGGCCGCAGAGAGAATTCTGTGGTCCGCGCTTCCTCTGCGGACCGCACTTTTGGTCTGTTGCGCCCCTTCTTACCTTATAAGCTGGAACATTCCTTTTAGATTTCTTCATTAGAGTCCAAATCTCCAACATTCCTGCAATTTGTACACCTTCATTAGTTCTGGAAATATAAATCAACACATTTGGACTAAAACTAAAGCAAGTAGGCACTAATAAGT